TCCCCAAAGCTATTCTCCAAAGCGGCTCCCGAAAGCTGCTCCGCAAAGTTGCTACCGAAACTTACCCCCGAAAGTTGCGTTCTAAAATTAATTCCCAAAGCTACTCCCTAAGGCGGCGGTTTTTCAAACCTGTTCTTCGAAGCTGCCGCGCAAAGCTGCTCCCCAAAGCTGCTCCCAAAAGCTGCGCCCCAAAGTTACTTCCAAAAATTGTTCTCCGAAATTGTATGCAAGGTTGCCCCCGAAAGCTAGTCCCCAAAGCTATTATTTTTCAAAGCAATTGTTCTGCAAAGTTAATCCGGAAAATTGGTCAAAGCTATGCCCCCAAGCCAAAATTATTTCCCAAATTACCTCTACAAAACAGTTGTCCCAGAGCGACAATACTTCAAATATATTCCTCAAAATGGATCCCCAAAGCGGCTCCCGAAAGTTGGTCCCCAAAGTTATGCCCCAAAATTGCTGTTCAAAGCTGCCATGCAAAGCTGCTCCTAAAAGCTGCTCCTGCTTCCCAAAATTGTTCCCCAAAGCACCGCCACAAAGCGGTTGCCCCAAAGCTGCTATACTTCAAACCTATTCCACAAGCGGTTCCCCAAAGCCCAAAGCTATTCTCCAAAGCGGCTCCTGAAAGCTGCTCCGTAAAATTGTTACCGAAAGCTGCAAAGTTGCGGTTTTTCAAAATTTCTGTTTGAAGCTGCCGCGCAAAGGTGCTCCCGCAAGCTGCTCCTCCTTCCCAAAGCGATTCCCCCAGCTGCTTCCGAAAGTTGTTCCCCAAACCCGCTCCTGAAAGTTGCTCCGAACAGGCTGCTTCCTAAAGCTTTACCCCGAAGCATTTCTACAAAGTGGCTGCCCCAAAGTGGCTATGGTCCAAATCTGTGCCCCAAAGTGGTTTCCCCCCAAAATTAAAGTTGTTGCCGAAAGCTGCTCCCCAAGGTTGCGTGCTAAAGCTAGTCCCCAAAGCTGCGGAATAGCCGGCGAGCAAAGGCAATAACAATAGCTCGCAACGGTTTGGAACAAACCTAGGGGGAATCGAACCAGGGTAAATCGAGGAATCGTTATAGGATTGCGACACGGGACCAGGACTGGGCCCGCAAAATCATAATTCCTAAAAAATATTCTTATTTTGGAATTTGCAATTTTTCCAAATTCCAAAATAATCGGATTATTTCAGCATCATTCGGGAATCCTAAAAAAATCAAGTAAAAAATATATATTATTTTCATATATACTAAAGATATATTCGATTAAAAATTTTAAAAAAAATAGGATCATTAGATTTTTTCGGATCAACCAATTTACATATACACATAATACACCCTCACCATAATATTAATAATAATATTAATAAAATTTCTATATTAATTCTATTCATTATATATATATGGTTATTAATCAAAATTCCAATATCCCGGAACGGTTATTTTTCGCGAATAAAAATTTTATTTTCGCGAATTCCATATTTATCTTTCGCGGGGCCCATCTTGGCCAATAATACCTCTTATGAAAATTCGTTTACCACCTATTAAATTATACCAGAAAATTACAAATCATTTCTTAGTAGCCTTTTAAATATATAGCTAGCATCACGAAATCCCTTCTCAGGACAGAATTTTTTTAGAAAATTTATTGATCCATCCCCTTTAATATGTACTTTAATTTTGGTTCATTTTTTCGTATAATTTTCACGAAAATAATCCTATTTACAAACCCCGGCCATCAGCAAGGGGTGCACTTTTAGAAATTTAATTACTACTACTCGCATTCTCTAGTGCCCTTCTCCTACCAAACCCCGAGCGACAATAGGCGACAACCCTTTACATATAATAATTATAATAACCAATTTTCACGAAATTTTCGTAAAATAATATTTTATTTTTACAAATTCGAAAAAAAAATATTCGCAAAGATTTCCAAGCTAACATACACAACTCCCATAATTAAAATTCCTTTTAAGGTTCTTTAAATCGATCACCATATATTTATTTATTTATCTATTTCTAATTTAACATATTAATACATATAAATCTATATAAATATCTATTAATATTTATAAATAATTATATATAATATTATATAATTATATAAATAATTATGCATAATTATAAATATATATGGTCCCGGCCCCCGGCCGCCAACACCCCCCCCCAATGGTATCCCCCCTCCCAAACACCCATACCCACAAACCATCCCCATCGCATGCATACATACATACATACGTGAATACATACATACATACGTACGTACGTATGTACATACATACATACATCCATACATACATACGTACATACATACGTACATACATACATGCCTATACCTACCAACCTACGTAAGTACATACATACTACACCTAACCCACCCCACAAGGGGGGGGCGGGGGGAAGACACTTTTTTCTGGAGTACAAAAAACTAAACTCTGGAGTTAATGGAGCTAATTTCTAACTGAAATAGGTCGTTTTTACTCCTGAGTTTTTGAGCGTCAAAATGTGCACATCAAGCTTCCATGTCTAAACTCCAAACTCAATCCCCTCGCTCCAACAACGCTTGCACAGCACTAAACTGCAGATTTTTGTCTCCATGGACTGTGCCCAAACGGCACCAGGTGCAAAAAAGCCAGTGAGTGGCTAAGCAAAATCTAATTTCTTTCCAGAAACCACAGCTACCTAGAATGGATCAAATCATTCCCAAAAAATGCTCAACAGTTTTGAACCATAGCCTTGCTGCTGTTAAGTCCAAACAGATGAATCCCCTGCAAAGAGTCTTAGACAGATAGATACATAGCTAGATAGCTAGATAGCTAGATAGCTAGATAGCTAGCTAGATAGCTAGATAGATAGATAGATAGAAAGATAAATAGATAGATAGATAACTTACATTCAAGAACTCCTGCCGGGGTCTCACCATTCCCAACTCCCTGTAAAGAGTCTTGGACAGATAGATAGCTTGATAGATAGATAGATATAGATAGCTAGATCGATAGATAGATAGATAGCTAGATAATTTTCATTAAAGAACTCCCGCTGGGGTCTCACCATTCCCAACTCCCTGCAAAGAGTCTTAGACAGATAGATACATAGCTAGATAGCTAGATAGAGAGAATGGAAGCCTATACTCCGGAAAGAATGGACACTGCAGTACCCAATGAGAACACTAAACTCTGGAGCTTGGTGAGAATGCATTAGAGGAGAAGAAATCTTTTCTTCAGAAAAAAAACATTGTGAAAGCATATCACAAGTCTGCAATTTCCTCCACAGAAAATACATGCCTATAAGTGCAAACCTTTGTCCAAACCTAAACTCCCGAGAGTAGCCATTGTAAGTCCAAGGCACTGAACTCTAGAGAGAAGTGAACTGTACAAAGAAATATACAAACACTAAACTCTATAGTTTAGAGCTTGAACTCTGGATTTTAGTCATTTTCGGGGAGGGGAAGCATGTATGTACCTTGCATGATAGTTGGATTCCAGGGAGTTAGTACACCCAATCCTAGGAACCATCCCCATCGCATACATACATACATACATACCATACCATACCATACCATACCATTACATTACATTACATTACATACATACATACATACATACATGCCTATACCTACCAACCTACGCAGGTACATACATACTACACCCAACCCACCCCACAGGGGGGGGGGCGGGGAAGCAGAGGTACCTTGCATGATAGTTGGATTCCAGGGAGGTAGTATACCCAATCCTAGGAACCATCCCCATCGCGGGGGGAGGGGGGGGTTGCAGGCCTGTACCATATATATATATATACATAATATATTTATAATAAGAATTAAATATACATCGGATCAATTTATATATATATGTATATATATATTATTTGGATTTTATTCCGTAAAAAAAAATGAATGTTTAAATTATTTAATTTTTATGACAATTTCTTTCATAATCAGAATTTACATATATATATATATATATCCAGGATATTTCGTTTTCAGGACCTATTCAAATATATACAGATATTTTTGCGGAATTTTCAAAGTAATCAAAATACTAGCTTCCGCGAGAGTTTGCGTTGTACTTCCGCGACTGCAATTTCAATTTCCAGGAAGGTACTGAGCGAAGCATGACATTCATTGTCCGTGGATTTTGTGCCTGTTAGAAATGAGAGTGACCCGAGAATCATCATGGGTAAAAATGTGCTTTTATCACTTTTCTATTTTTTGTAGGGGCAAGTTGCAATAGCCGATAACCTTTTTTCAAACTACTGCTATATTCCCGATATATTCTTATCTAGATTCGGAATTGTTCTTATGTACAGTATTCTTAAAACGATTGAGTCTTGTTTTCTTTTGCAAAGGAGTTTGGTTCATTGTCAAGTTGTTTGTAGGGTCTTTTGACCCCCAAATGATGGAGACGACATTGCCTGGACATGAAATGCAGCATCATCTTGCTAGCGATGACATCTTCATTCAGCAAGACTAAGTTGCCAGCATCCTTCTCGAAAGACGTCCAGTGGGAGCGTTGGTCCTTGTGTTTTGATGTGGAGATGAACAAAAAGATCCTCACATCATCACCCTCTAGTAAACAATCCTGGCACTGAAAATCATGAACTCGATTTATGTAGCAAAATCATGCATCACTTGATATAACATGATATAACTTGCGAACATTGATTCGCGGCTTAGATGACCGGTTGGTACATGTACCATTCAATTGACCTGTGGTTGAAGTGGCACAGAAGCGAACCACGCGGATTGCGGCCTGACATTGGACAACAAAACCGCTGCAGGATGTTCATCCAGAGGAAATAACTTCCCAAATGAGGTAAGTTGCTGTTTTTCAGAGGTGGTACAAGGTATTGATCGGTAGGTTACGGTAGGTTGCTTATCCTCAGATCCGCACAAAGGCGCATCTTGCGGCACATGTCCTGACCGGAAAACAGGCTGGCCACAACACCAGCCGGATGCACACATGGGCACATGTACCAGCATCGCGATATCCACAAAAAGAATATATCAGTTGGAATCAGCATCTCAAAAAGACATAAGCATAAAAACCATGTATGTATTATATATATATATGTAAATACTAGTATATATATACACATACATACACACACACATACATATATATATATACATATATATATATATATCTATATATATATATATGCTGGGGGTTGCCATCACAGTATGATCCTCCGATGGGCAGAAACGTGTTCGACACCAGCGTCGCCTCGAACTCCACCGGAGGATCCAGGCAGCTTGTACAGACTTTGAGCCACCTGAGCTGTTAAAAAATCGTAGCTTTGATTGGTCATTCATGGTTACGGTCATACTAGTTATATACCCAAGAATGGTTCATATACAACAATGATGGCTATACTTGTAATAGTATTATACTCATCAATTGGTTACTTGTAATAGTATTATACTCATCAATTGGTATATATAAATATCAAATAATACTGGTTTGTAATCATCAATTGGTTGTTAAATTTGTATTGAAAAATCTACCTGATTTACTGGTGATTATTATATATGATTATATGTTGTATAAGCCATAATAAGGATGCATATTTTCTAATGAATGGATGGTGAAAAGCAACGCACATGTACAGAACTACACCATTGTCCTTCAAATCTTCATTGAACGGCGGCTGAAAACAAAGAAATGCAAGTGCGCATGAAAGTTCATCCGCCTTCTCTGATGCAGGGACTGCCCTGACAGGTGGCAACTTTATGTCTGGAAATGAACTGGATCAGAGCGATTTGGAAACTCTTCCAAGACACAAAATCTAGATTTCAAATGGTACTATGGCCTATGTCAGATTTCTCAAACTGCAGTGTATCTGTACCAATCTTGTGATCCTTTGGGAAAAGCTTCGTGCATTTTGTGCCTGCGGTGTGGAGACCATCTGCTTCGGTCTTCCACGGCACCCTCATGAGCCTCACTTCGAAAGAAACTGATGTGCATCCTTCGCGGTGCATTTGAAGCTCTTGCTATGTGAGGTTTCTAGGAAAACGCGTATTCATCAAAACAGTCACTTGCAATCGCACGGGGCTTTGCCTTTAAAAATACACCTATCCTCTTCATTCCTTGTCAAGTTTTGGTGCACTGTTCATTTTGCATCCTTCCTTGGACAAGACAGTCTTGCCAACGCAGGCTGCTACCGCCACCAGTGATGGGAGATGATGCTACTGCTGGAGTGTTACTTGCCTTGCGCCACTTTTTGGTTTTTCTATGTTTTTCTGCCAAACCTCTCTGCTGGTGGAAGTCTTTTGCATGCGGACAATACAGCAATTAAGGAGATAACGCATCAGGAGTTGTCAAATGGACAAATGTCACAGAGGGGTCTAGCCAAGGGTTGGAGGCTATGAAGAGCAAGCCTCCAAGCAAAAAGAGTCACACAGCGACGACTCACAGAACTTACCTGGACCAATGCTGTCAAGAGACCATAGTATACGTATACCGATTATACCATATTCATGCATATTCATGCATCAATTCCTACTCCACCTTTCTCAACCCGATCGTCATTTCTCTTGGCGCTTGACCGTGACAATCACAGCCATCTGCTTCTCCAAACTTGCTCGCTCTTCAAGGAGCCTTGGAACATCTGGTGCTTAGGATTCAATAGGATTCAACAGGAGCAGAATTTCTCCAAGAGGGACGAGGTCCAGACTTGATTCGCTCTGCGCGGACTTCGTTCAAGAGATTTCGATCATCCTTCCATCATCACAGCCACTAGCCACCAGCCATATCACCAGCCATATCACCAGCCATATCACCAGCCATATCAGCCATATACCATCCCTCCCAACAAAACGGTGTTTTTTTTGCCGAAGAACAGCCACTATAGCCACTTCAGCCCTTGACCCGACGGGTTACCGTGTCCTGTATGGATCCCAAGAGGCGATTCTGATCCTGCTCAGCGCTGCGCTGTTTCTGAAAGAGCGCCTGGCCGCCGGGGTGCGACCCGCAGCTTCCATCAGATTCCAACATGTTCCAACCATTCCAACCCACCAACGATGTGCGTTGCGATATTCAAGTGGAATATGTGAAATATGTGGAATGGAAATTATTGAAAATTAGTTGAGATTATGTTGGGATCACACAACGAGTGATTGTTTGCCCCTTTTCATCGGAATTGGAGCCCAGGAATCGAACATTTTGTTCAGCCACGCCTCTTGCTGCTGCTGCAGACTCTGTTTTTCCATGTGAAGGCTTTCAATGTGCCTTCAGCAAGCAAGAGCAGAATGACAGAACCAAACATGCGCTGCGTTGAGCCTATTTGATCTATTTGAGACCAATTAAAAATGCAGTATTCAGAAGACAAATGAACCAGAAAACGACGACAGTACCCACATTGACCCAGGGATGGCACTTTCGCAACTGCTCGATCTGCTCTTGCTGCGCTTGTAGCGACTCCATGTGGGCGCGTTCTTCTGCCAAGGCATCCTGAAGAACGCGAGTCGGTGGCATGTGGGCCTAGCGGCCCTCCCAAAATGGGGTCCCAGTTCCAACGGAAACATCAACTGTTGGTCATTTCTAGTTTAACATTCCACTTGAAGCAAGCAATTTCCCGAAGATCGTCAACTCTTCAAGAAAATGATCAACTAGTTCCAATGAAGATTGGTGATTCGGTGATTCTGAGCGAATCCCAGGTCTACTGAGTCTGCTGAACATGGCTACCAGAGTCAGCAGGTCCCCAGCCATCAGTCCTTTGTCCTTGGCTGATTCGGCTGGGCTCCAACTTGCGGCGCCACCTGAAAGGCAGGTTGTAGAAGTCGATTTGACTCCTCGCAGGACATGTCAAAATACAGACTGAAACAGCAAATAGATTGATTCAATCTGCACCAACAGAGGACCCCCCAAGCCTTGAGAACTGCCAAGTCGTGCTCGAGTTCACGTTGTTGGGATTTCACAAACTCCATCTGCGGCCAGAACTGGTGAGTTTGAAGAGATATTACAACATTCCTCAGCAAACCTGAGGCACGTAGTATCAATTCTTTGAATGGTTTTGACACTTTCTGAAGCTTTTAACTTTCTTTACAGTCCATTACAGTCCCAAGTTAATCATCGTATTTTGTGGTGCTCTTGGGCAAACACCACCCTCAAACACCCTCTCCACACCTCCTGTGTCAAGACTTCCAGGGATGCCAAGACCTGAAAGGTCTCACCAGTTCTCAACGGTCGTCCCTCCGAAGTTCCCCACCTCTGCTTGAGCAATCCGTGGGCCCATCCGTTTTTTCTCCAATTCCTCAGCAACTTGGCACGAAAACCCAGCGCGGCCCAGCCATGGGTTTCTTGCAGATTAAACATGATGAATAAACATCATCAAACATCATTAAACCATACTTGTTCCCCTATTTTTTTTCCATGTTGTTTTCCTATTTTTCCGCTATGACAATTGCATGAATTGCCTTCACTTGGTGAACCTCCCGGCAGAAAGTTTTTGAGGCGCTCACCTCTGTTTGCGAACGTTTCTCCACCAAGCGCACCTCGAAATCCCGCTTGCGCCTCAGCTGCCTGACCGCGGAACGCCCATCTGGGAATGTCGTTGTTTTTCTGGACATAAAACCAATGATCTTAAACATAGCGGCTAATGACATTATCTGTTAATCATAAAATGATGTAAACAATGATGTAAAGCAATGTAATTAAACCAATTTTAGCAAAACTTAACTAACTAAACAATCTGCATCAAACTTTAAACAAAATCAAACAGCCAGCAACGAAACCTCCCCACACAGGACATACTGTAGCTGTAGCATGCAAGTGAAGGAGCCTCCACAGGTCTTTCTCCTCCTCATCTAATAGACGAGCCTGTCAGCTTGAAACCATCTGGTCATTTGTGCCGACTTGAATTCGCTTGAAGGAATTTGACAATGGACTGATTCTGATTCCGCTTCCGCCATCTGCTTCTATTGTCCATCAATTTGGATCCTGGGGCTTTAAGCTCAGCACTGCTTCATCTATCGCTGCATCATCGGATCCACCCAGGGCTCCAATCTCGCTCTTCATTGGCACAGATCTCTACTGGACATGCATCCGGTCAAACTGCTGTTGGTGCTCAGGCGTTGCTATTGTTGACATCCGCTTCGATCAAACCTGTGAGGCTGATTGGTTGGTTTGCTGCACAAGCGCAAAACATGTGGAACATCGTTGATAGAGGCAGTCGTGTCTGTTTGAACGTTCAAGCAAACAGCTTTTGGTCGGAAATTCAAGCAGCATGGTGCACAACAAGTTGCAACAACCCAAACACCAGGAATTGCATATCAGAAGCTACGACTGGAAACTTTCGTTCTTTGCTCCTTGAAAATAGCATCCTGTTGGGCTGGAAGCAACGTCCTCAAAGGTTCTCAACGTGCCACTCTACTACGAATGAGTCAGCCATGGGTCGCCGGCTCAGCCGAGACCCGAGTGGATGTGAACCTCCGCTTTGGGTCACGCCTCCAGGTTTCACCATGGAGTATCCACGAGAGCTCGATCCCGACTCGCAGAGTGAAACGGCCCCATTGCCCAGCCAGAAATGTCAAGGCTGCACTATGGCGCGCGGACCTGCAGCTGCTAAGATCCTGGATGCGTTTTCGCTTTTTCCATTCATATCATGTCATATCCATTCTTGCCATTTCTTACCATCCTTTATCATTTTTTCACATTTTTCACCTCATCAAGGGTCTTCTTTTCGATCGATTTGAAAGCCGCTGCAGTCTCCCACGCAGCGCAGTAGGAGCCCTCCGGGCATTTCTCGCTTCGAATACGGGCAGGGCACAATGGCCTGACAGTATCCCCTGGCTGTCCAAAACAGGATCCCATTTGGAGTATCATGGAGTAACTCTCTAGAGGACTTTTAAGAATCCTGGCTTTGGTCATTCCTCTGCAAATCAGTTCCTGAAAATTCCTGGACCTGATTTGTTTCGAGGTTTCGAGGTACATCGGGTTTTGTAGCAGCCGGGGACTTACCTCCATGGGCCCATTGACGAAGTCAAATGAACCCCCTTGGGCCCAGAACTGACCTCTGGGAGGTTGCCTCCAAGAGGCAACAAAAATGGGATTGGAAGCGGCGCATAGTTGCGGTGGCAACCATTTGAAAAGCACCGTTTGAGCTGTGTCCAACATGATTCATCCATGTTCAATGTTGCAAACATCCAACAGCTTCTGGTCTTTGCAGTTCAAACCAGATATACCAGGAATTCAATTTCAACATGTACTTGAGGACACTGCTCCTTTACTCTCAGGAGTTTCCGTGCACTGTGACTCCGACTACGGACCCCAATTCTTGGGGCTGTGCGGACACGGTCAATGGATTAGTTGGAGCAGCTGTCAACCCCAATCACTGGGCTCCATTCACTGAGTTTGCAAGCTGGAACTTTCACCTGTCCCGGATGGACCAACCGTGACCTTGTGCTGAGCTGGGATACCAGATGACTCAATGGGCCCTTCTACACCTTCCTAGTAGATGGTACCAGTATATTTAGGAACAGTTGATGCATATTAGACTGCGATGGACAACCTATGGCATCTATGGTGTTCTCCAAGAATATAGCTCTACATGACAACCTATGCCCTTCCATTCACCCATCAAGTGCCTCAGCGCGCTCAGAGGGCAACAAGACCCGGCCTTGACAGAACAAGATTATGATCTAGGATGATCATGGATGATCATGGATGACTAATCATTAATTTTAAGTGACATCTCGCTGATTGGGTCTAAACCCTCAATGATTCATCAATTGGGCGTAGCACTTAAGTGATGTGACATGATGTAAGATGATGTAAGCAGCTAGAAGGACCTCGGGAAGCCAAGAAGCCATAGTGCTCCAGAAACTTGAAGTAGACGGGCTGTAGAACCTTTGCACTTGGACCTGGTTCATGGCTCGGCAAATCTCAGCCCCAACGTTTCGCTGGACCGAAACATCCGAAACCTGTGTGATTTCTACAGCGAGATTGGCCGACTCCAACTTCTCCAACCTTGTAGTCGCTCAAAAGCATGGGTTGCAAGTCCTTTCGACAAGTCCAGGTCGCTGCCAATGTCGGCCTGGAACCAAGTCACATCACCAGGCGAAACACAACAGGGCCAACAAAAACCATGGATTTGCGGCACAGGACACCGTGGCCACCGTGGCCGCGGCCTCCCAAGACAGTCTGATCCTGGCACGGGCGAGGTCTCATTCAAACCGGAGCCCATGTGGGTTGTTGGGTGATTACCCCATTTCATTGGTTTGAACAGTTTGAAAAAAACATGTCAATTCAAAAAAAGGTCGGAAATCTATGGGAAATGTTGGCACTTCTAAGTCCATTTACCACGCCCCATGTTGGTACTTCACTCAGCCTGGGTCCCTGCGCTGCTTTGATCGGTGTGCCAGTGACTGCCCAGACCAGCTGGAAGGCCAGTAGTGCCTTGTCGATGTGGCTATGGGGAGATTCCTATTTCCTATTGGGGGTACTCTCTGGCGACTGCTATTGAAACCAGCTTTTTTGGGGTGGTAAATCAATGTAATTAAATCATCTATGAATGGGCCATTTTCCATAGGAAACTGTTAAATTACCGAATGGTACCACGGGTTTCCCCACTACAGTAAAAACGACCAATTACTTCATAACTTGGGGCCACCCATTTTAGGACACCCCTATGAGAACGCTCTACATTTGGCATGTTCTTTTAATGAATCCTGCGCCTATAGAATGAAACAATCAACTTCAAGACACAGTTGCATTCAGCAAAGGCAAGCATTCTGACCAGTCACCCAGGGAGATTTCTTTCCAACATGTCACTCAGTCAGCCTTCAAAGTCTTCTGCAAGCCCATCGGTGCCGTGTGGGATAGAATTGGGTGACACAGATCCCTGGCGTAATATGCCGTGATTTGAGCCCAAATTCATGGAATGCATCGAGAAACATTCAGCTCACTTGAAATATTCAGCTAACATCAGCTGGACAGGTACATACAGGTATCGCAACTGCCTCTCTTACAACAGCACTTCGAACGCCTTGATTTTCCGTGGCACATCCACTGTCTTTGGTTTCTCGAAACTGCCAGGGAAATTGTCCAGCATTGCGCAGGTGGGGGTCTCTGTTCCAGTAACCAATCAACAACCTGTGCCGGGTCTATGAATTCAAGATGCAGGTGCTGGTGCTGCTGCAGCTGCAGGCGCGTCACCTGTGACTGGACAGGGATGGATAGGGGTCAAAAATTGAAGTGGCTATGGATCAATACCTATGGATCAATACCTATAGATACATTTATAGTGGGATGAACATCCATTTACCAGCTATTTTGGGGTTCACTAGGTACCAGGGTTTTGACCCATCCCCAAGTGGCTATGGATGTTCAATTTTCGCATCGGCACCTGCATAGCCACCACCTTCACCACCCCCTCCAGAGAGTCGCGCGAGGCGTGCTGCACGCATGGCCTGAAAGGTGGGCGAGAAATCCGAACAGCCCTTTGACAGCAAAAAATCCGGGGGGTGCGCATCAAACACTGGGGATTTAATGTTTTAATGTTTAAAGAATAGGGTGTGGACCAAGAATGAAGGATTTGATTTGACCAAAAAAAAACGGGGATATAGCAATCAAAGATCGGGATAGAACCTTCAAGAGTCAAGATTTCGACTAGGGATTTGACCAAACATTGAGTTTAACCAATGAAAATCTGGAATTATCCAAAACATCAGTCAGAGACCCAGGGAACCAAAAGCTCTTATGAGACACATATGTTTTTTCGTTGCAGTCATACTGAAGGGTGAATATGAAGCCTGAGATATTTTCATGAAACGCCTTGTCTTGCACGGCAGATAGAATCACCCCCTCAGATTAAACAAGTCAATCAACCCAAACATGTTCAATCTGAATACAAACATTCAAGACATCCAAAAGAATACTCGGTTGGGATGCTTGCCCTGATTTGTTTGCATTGTACATGTCTATATCAACATCAACAGCTACATCTATATCTGTATATATATATATCTATCTCCACCTCTGTACTTATAGTGTGTGTGTGTGTAATATATATATATACATACAAATAAATATATATATATATGTATTAACATCATATATTATATATGTATATACAGTATACAATTATATTTGACCCATACCCATTCAGCACCTCTGCCGATGTCACTGTAGATCCTCCCGTCGCCTGCCCAAGCTGCCCAAGCTCATGGGCACACGTCGATTTCAGCGGTATTACTCTTCTTCCCATCGAGCTTGTACTGAAACATGACAAGCACAAAACCAATCAATATCTACATGTCGATAGACCATCGATCGACATATCTAAGATTATCTAAGTATACAAAGATGTATACACATCCATGCAAGTCCATGCAATATCATTTAACAATATTTAACATCTCACATTTCCCAATGGCCAGCTGCCAACCATCCTTGATTCCCAACAGTCCGCCTGGCCGGGGGTCTTCCAGACTTTGTCCGGGTCAATGGCCTCGCAGACCTTTTCCACATCAAAGCCATCGGCCTAGAGCACAGGAGAATCCAATCCTTTCCAAATCCGAAAATTGATGAAAATTGACAATCTTCCGATATTCATGGCATATCTGGATTTATAGTGTATAAATAATGATATTGGATAAGTCCACAATAGATCCAATAGATCATCCAGAAGTTGCAGTTCAAACCCTGCGGATGACCCCAATAAAGCAACCATCATTATGGACTTTTGGCCTGAAGTTGAGGACCAGTCTTCAGGCAACTGCCATCAACTGCTGAGTGCTGCTCCTTGGGGTTGGGTTGATACTGACCACCAGAACCTGCTTGTACCATGCCAGAGAAGGAAGCACCTGCAGCGAGATCTGAGTGTTGGATAAGTGTTGCTAATATCTTTGCTGTATGCCTCTGTCCGACTCCATCCTCGAGGTCAGGCAGATGTTGATCTTGCAGGATTTCTATGGATTTCTGGTCCAAAATCTTACGCTTGGGACCATCCTTTTCCGTGATTGTGCTACACAGCTTGCTCGAAGTGGCAAGAATGACTACCTGTCCCCTTGTCTTCCAACAGGAACTGCTTCCGCTATTTGAGCATTTCTGATGGGAAGATTCAGGGTTTCCCAGGCTGGACGGTCAAATGGCCACTGACGCCACTCTGCTTGGCAGAGGTTGCAGTTCCTGGAGCTACAGTCTCAACTGGCGGCCTTAGGCCCCTCAGTCAAGCCGTAGGGAAAACGCCCAGCCAACATCACAATCGGCCCAAATCGGCACGGCCACCAGCTCTTGATGCTAGGACATGTTCTCATCTCATGCAACATGCTGCAACATGTATAAAAAAAAGAACTGCATGGGCATGATAAATCATGATTTCCAAGACGTAACGTGGGATGACAAGTGCTCTTCTCATTGTTTTGTGAATCTACAATATTGGTCAACGGCCCTTTGATCTGAAATAGAAGCTTCCCAGCAAATCAGTCTCACTTCTCTGTGACCAAATGCCTGCCAAGTCCCGCAGCAGAATCACCCGACCAGCATCAACCAGCATCACTCTGGCATGTCACTAGGAAAAGCTCTTTGATGCCTGCACCCAATCGAAGTGTTTTGGCCTCTGATACACCCAAGAAGGGAATCCTGAACAGAAACACTTGCAGTCCGTTTCAATGGGCAAGTGCGGCAAGGAATATATTACATGACATTCTATAACACTCACTGTCACTTGAGAGTCCTTCTTTGCTTGAAAGGTGTAGTACGATATCTTTCCTGGCACTTTCCAAGGATGAAACATGCTGAAGATCCTCATAGCTTTCACTTGGCACGTCCGCCCCGGCCTGCGGCTCCGCTTCCCGATTCGGCCGTCCATACTTCTCCAGCCAGCCGGACAAAGAACTTACGCTCGTATCCGCACGCGTATTGCGGACACTCCTTGTGTGCTACTGTAATTTGATTCCAGAAGAAATGATGAGTTCACAATTGGAGGTTTCCCAAAATGAGTGGTACCCCAAAACCATGGGGTCCAATACCAAAATGGTCTAATGACTTGGATGATCTGGGGTATCCCTGTTTAGGAAACCCCCAATTAAATGTTGTCCCTCAACATCGCTCTCCTGTAGTCCTCCCGCATTGCCTTTTCCACGGCATCCTGGCAAAAACAGAGCATTCCACGTCCACTCAGATCGATCGATCGTCAATGACACTTCAATGATGGGGATTCAACCACCCTGCGAAGGTCACCCCCCACAAGGGCTTAAAAAACCATCTGAGGGTGTGACCTTTGGGGGGGATTGGATGTCAGATGTCCACTGACGGCCCCAAGGGGCCTGCTTTACAGAAATGTCGCATCTGAGGGCGTCCATGGCTGTCATGTTCCGCTGGTACTCGGTACTTTGCGCTACATTTGGCGCTACATGCCTGTCAACGCCCCAGCACAAATGGGACACAAATGCATATAAACGCACCATCTACAATGATGAGACAAGACTTGATGGAAGTTGCTGCCACAAACAATTTCAAACGTGGAAGTTGCCTGTAGTTAGGCCCACCCCAAGTCTTGCTTTGGAGAGTATCCTTGGTTCCACCGTTACACGTTACACTGCACGAACTATGCAGTGCGCTTCGAACTGCTGAGAGTCCAACCTTTGCCAGAGCTTTCACATTGCCTCTTGTTGCAGAACCACCAACAACCACATGTACCCCCAAACGCAAATACACAGAGCTTGAGCAACCACAAACCTTCACTCGCAGTGCCCACATCCTCAAAAGCCTGGCCTTGTTGGAAATGGAGGTCATCCTTCACTTTCTTGCCCCATTCCCGGGCCAATTTCGCCTCCTCATGATGAGAGTGATGAGGCCGCTATCAGCCGCGGCATCAGTCCTCACCTGCTTCATACTTTCCAATCTTGAGGCAGATATCGAGCGTTGCTGAACCCTGGCTGAGGCGTGCTAAAAAAAAGGTGCCGGCTCCACATCTGAAACACTTTGCGGTGCATGGCCTGTTTGGAGCATCCAGGGCAAGGCGGCAAATGCCATCCTGCAGCCGAGAATGTCTAAACAGCCATGATTTGGGGCTTCCCAAGTCTACCACATCCACTGATGTCTGGTGTCATTCCACAAGATCATCTAAATCAAACATCCATCCATGGTATCATCGCTTGATCAGCTGTATCATCTGCATCAAGCTTGGAACACATCTCTGCCTCAGCTCGCTTCTTGGTGGAGAAGCCATCCATAGCTGGGTTTGAACTAAAGCGCTGCGGTTCAGAGATCATTCTCCAACCGTGTTCACAGCTGCAAAGGTAAGGAATCTGGGAATCTGAGATGAATCAACGACTTCCCTGCGAAAACCAGAGGCTGAGCATGGCTGAGCAATGCAGGATGGCACCGAGCTTCTCCATCTGTCTGTACTTCTTGTCCAGGCGCCTGCCAGGTTCCAGCCATGGCTCTCCAGGTGTTGGCGAACCCACTTCAGGCGCACTTGTGAAGCAGGTAGAAAAGCGCGCAATCAGAGAAGGAGTTGCAGTTTTTGCGCAACCTCAAATGGAATAAATAGCTGAAGCGGCCCAAAACTCATCTCACGGGTGAAGTGCAAGTTCAAGAACAGCTGAAATACTTGGGGGCGCGCAGATCGTACCTCGAAGCAAACACTCTGAGCATGTCTGCTGATAACCCTTGAAACAACTTGGACCAGCTGCAGTTCCGATTCCCGGGCACGTGCCCGAAATAAAGTAGCGCTCCAAAGCAGCTTGCATTTGTGATCCAGTATATGGCGACATGCCCATGTCAATGACCTGTTGCAGCTTCGCAGCAGTATGATCCAATTAGACATTGGTTAGCACAGAATTTGCTGCCATTGAAAGCCTCAGGCTTCGAATCCGGCATTTGCGGATTCTTGTGCGACATGAGGTTGCCGGAAGATGCAATTCCACCATCACTGAAGAAGAACTCCTGCGAGGGCTTTGACATGCACCATATTTGCGGAATCTGTGTATCAACAACACAGTCTCGATGTTCCGAAGGTACATGAAGGTACATCAAGGTACCAGTAGCTGATGTTAGAAGTTGGGAGTGGCTCAAGAATCTGAACTTAAACCTTTACAAAATGTCATTTTTGATACCGGTAATCAAACATGGCAAAGAAACATCCCGCTACTCAAGTAGATAATTTAAAAGGCGATTTCCCAGCCATGCTTGAGCACCCAAGGATACCACTTTCTCTATTTGCCTAAGCACCCCACGTGTCCATTGACGATCACCGAGGAGTGATAGGCTGTTGCCTATGCAGTGCCGGATCGCAACTGATTGGCTGATGAAGGGAGTTGCGGGATGTTAAACCCAACAAATCATAATCTGAATTGCATAGTTGTGAATCAAAACCCTGACATTCCACTTGAAAAAATGCAAATAGCCAATTTGATTGCCAGCGGGTAAAATGGCAGTGTCCCCGGTGTCACCCAAGTTCTAAGTTGGTTTATACACCCCATGAATACTATACTAACTATACGTAGCTATCACTACCACAAAGCCTAGTAAAATACCAGTTGCACAGCAACTTCACTAGCCGAGTAGTGTTCCCCCACCAATGATGTTGCCATTTACCCCGATGATAGCAACCCAAAAAAGATAGTTGCCAGTAAATCCGACGAAAATAGTGATGAACTAGGAATTAAAATCCTCTAAAAATAATCCATTCAACCATATATCTAAGTAGTGTCCCACCCCATATATCACATTAATTCACATATTATATTATATTACATTGTATCACATTATATTATATTATATTATATCGTATTATATCGTATTATATTATATTATATTATGTATATATATATATTTATTATCAATATCCATTAAATCTCCACTGCAAGATCAACCACTGGTCATCGATCAGCGGCTAATCTGGGTTTCTGGCGCCGGGCACTCCACCCAGCACTGACACTGCAAGTTGCACCTCGAGAAATCGATGATTTCGATGTCAGGCTTTGGGGGGATATGATGTGATGGGGGGAAAATGAATCACCTTATCATTCTTACATACTGTAGATTATATGTTGTTTATCACATATCATATGTAGTAATATATAGATATATTATATATCATCAAACATGATCAAACCAACAGAACACATTCCCCAAGAAACATCCAAGTTCTTGCTCATTCTCGGGAATCCAATGTTGAAATGGATCCAGAGGATGTAAGAATCAAATTAACCATGAATATTACAATGTTGGGGTGTCCACCATGTTTGGACACAGCCACAATAGCACGTATGTCTGGTTGCTGGTTGATCCACCCGCCTCTGAAAAACATTAGGGATCAAATCACCATCGCAGATAGTGTTGTTTTTAAACCTGTTTGAACCACCAGCCAGAAAAATGTCACAAATGAATGTGTCCCAAGAAGGGGATGCGCGATTACACCATGGGATTAGGAGGTTCCCAATTTTAAGACAACCCTAGACGGGTGGGTCACGGTCTTCATCCCCTCCAAGGATGGTGTCACCATTCTCGCAGTAATTCTGAATTTGAGATGTGCAGCAACAGATTGCTAGGATTGTTGTTGCCTTCCTTTTGTCACATCGCAGGTGAACACTTCGAATACTCTCCGCCCCACCTGGTTGTTTGCTGGACGGCCTTTCCCATGGCTTGAACTGGAGGCATCCCCTCAGTTCATCCGTCAACCATTGATTTCAATTGTCGGGGAGTGGTCGGGTACCCTGGTTCCCATGTGCGGCGCCTTGTCCATCAGGTCCAGGGGCTGCCTGCTTTTCAGATATAAAGCAGAGAAATGCCGCAACTATCAGCTTTCTTGGTGTGGAAACCCAGAGCGACAGCCATATGGCAGTCTCATTAATTATCTATTGATGTCACATGATGCCACACCAAGGATTCTAGCCGTTGTGCCCTTCCAATGCCATCAAGCCAGTGATTTTTGTCAGCATCAAACAGCATCGTTGTTGCGCGCCTTGGCAGCAGATTGTTGTCCGCCCATGGATGTAACACTTTTCGGCGCCGGAACGGCCCTTGAGGGAGAGAGCTCTTTGGGGCGGCACGGCAGCTGATAAACCACTTGAGATCTGTGTGACCTCCAAGGATTCCGATCACCGCTGTTTGCGAAGTGGTACAGCCGTGGTTTGTGCAACACCCACAACTTCTGCAGCTTTTTCTGCAACAACAAGTCTTGCCCCTGGTAACCTGCACCAGGCATGGCCACCACTGAGGCTTTGCAGGCCCAGTGGCCCTGCGGGCGACCTAGTCTACGAACTGCAACTGCGCTGTGGAAGTTGCAACGTCACTCCTTCTCCAGGCGCTCAAAGCAAAAGTCGCATCGGGAAACAAATCACATCAATGGGCAGAATAGAGCTGGATATGTTTTTTCCCGCTTGGAGAAGAGGGGGCAGGGGTAACCATTCAACCATATTGAATCGTATACAAACATATACTGAATAATTTTGAACCACGTTGACGCACTTAATAAATGCATTCGATACAAGATCCCAGCAGCCGCCTGCCCCACCTTGAAAAAATTGGATGGCTTAAACTAGCTTGCCAACACCTGTCACCTTTCGGCGACAAATCGGACAAATCAAATCACGCGATGGGTACCTGGCTTGATCTGGCAGCTGGTTTTTTGATATGTTGACATATGTTTAGCTTGGATAAAGAAACTGGGCCCAATAATATTATCATAATATCCAATAGTGGCTGTATAAACTGGTCACGGGAGGACTTCGACCGGCTCTTGCGGCAAATTTACAACTAGCGGTGATACAATGCTGGGCCATGCTGGGCCCATAGTGCAGCTGATGGCAGGTGAAGCAGCAGCGTTGATGTTTACACTTTAGTGCTAACATGTGGTCACAACTTCGGCAGCTTCTCGAATTGCTATAGTTGCTTAGGATTGATATAGACATCTCGCAACATGCCGCTGCTGTAAACTGAACAGGCCGGCACTGCGAGTCTGTGCATATCCAACCTGAGCAGTCAACAGCAAAATAACATGTGGGACCCTTTTGGTGGGAAGCTTGAGTGTCATCATGGCGGGTTGCTGGGAAATACCCAGAAATTGAGGTTTTAATAGGAGAATCCAGGATGAACATCCAGGGAGTCGAAGCCGAGATGCTGCGATAGCAGCTAGCGTGGAGCGAATGCCGGCAAGGAAGAAGACAAATGTTCGCCTCCACAGCTCTCATAGCATCCCAATGTTGGCATGCCATTGCAGTCATAGGGTCAAGGGAAGAAACTTTTTCCATGAGGATTCACGGGGTGTCCCAATTCCACGGGTTGATCATCAGAATCCCAATTCAGCGGCCATCGATTGGGGGTATATCCAATTTTCAAACAAACCCAAATGAACAAAACAGAAGCGATGGCTCAGAAATTTGCAGCCTCATCCTCAGCACCGAAACAAATGCAGCATGGTTCGCCCTCGCCATAGGCAGCATCCACCGGCACTTTCCTGGCGGCATTCGCGAAAACAAACCATTTGGTCTCTTCATACAGAACACATTACAAACACACAATGTGCTTGGAAAATCTTGGATATGTCAGCAAAAACATGTCTGTTCTCAAACCCCAGCTGCAAGATCCCACCAGGACATCTATACCGGCTGGTGCGTTCACTTTCACTGGAACATATGAGTCACTGGTGAAATTATTTTTCAAGTTGTGGGAAGTCAAAGATGAAGTCACCAATCGGGAAGTAAGGTTCGCATCCGATTATTCATATGTGTAATGTATGTGTATATATATATAATTATGTATTATATATAGATACACTTACATTATATATATATATATTGTGAAAGCCAGGCCAGTTCACATGTGCTCGAGGTCATTCCCTCATTTAACCAGGGGGTTCTTCCAGAAACCAGTTGTTGCCGCAGCCTCTGGGCTGGAGGGAGGGATTAGCTTGAGCAATAGCGCTATCAGTGACGCTTAGCGGAGACAGCTGTGGCCAGCTGTGGGTGCGTTGGACTGATTGCAGGTCGTGGCTTCGCATTGGGCAAAACAGGAGTTTCAGCATTTGGACAGGGTTCCAATCTGGGTGGAAGAGTTGAAGTGATCAAGCTACCAGTGTCAATCTGACATTGGTAGCGGAGCTACCTGGCGATCAGGCGCCACAGAATTCATGGCTGAATCATCTGGAGGACAGACTGGAACTGATGGGGGTGGAACCATCTCGAATCAGCTTGCTCTGTTAGTGCCTTCGTTTGATCCTGCAAGTGACAATGTGGACATTTGGTCCAGCAAGGTTCATCTACTGCTTGAAGCATGGCCCCAGACCAAAATCTTGGAGCTCATCACCCGACTGATCCTCAACACAAAGGGATCAGCTTACCAGAAGCTTCATTTGCATCAAAAGGACCTCTTGGTGAATGACCGTAAAGGGGTTCAGAAACTGGTGGAATTGGTTGGGGGCACCTGGGGACAGATTCCCCTTGAGCATCGTTTTGAGTTGGTGGAAAAGGCCTTGTATCGATGTCAGCAGAAGCCTGACGAGACAGGTGACAGTTTCATCGCCCGTGTTGATGTGGTTTGGACTGAGCTTTTGACCACGGACGTTGACATGGATCAGATTCGATCGTATGTTTTGCTTCGTGGCAGTCGCCTATCAGCTGAAGACAAAAAGCGCGTGTTGGTGGAGTCCGGAGCTGAACAAATTGGACAGAAACTGGAATGGAAGAAGGTCGTAGCAGCCATATGCATGTTAGGTTCATCTTTCTTTCAAGACTACACGGGTGCCAAACGAGAAAAAAACATGAAAACCTATGACCATTTGGCCTTCAATGTTGATGAAGTAGAAGAGGATGAAGAACATGACACGTATTGGACTGTTGATGATCCACTGGATGACGAAACCTTAGCACAGTTAGCCAATGACAATGATGAAGATGCTGCTATGGTGGTACAGTTTGAGGACGCAGTGACAGAAGCAGTGCAGAGTGATGCAGACCTAGCTGCCTATTTTTCCTCATATCAGGGGGCACGTCGCCGCCTGACAGAACGTGCCAAATTCAGAGGATTTTGGCCCGTGAGAAAAGGAGGGAAAAGTGGGGGCAAGAAAGGTTTTGGAAAAGGAGGCGGAAAAGGAAAGTCACTAGCACAGAGGATAGCTAATTCTACGTGCAGACTGTGCGGGAAAAAGGGTCATTGGAAGGCCGAATGTAGCCTTCGTCAATCAGCCTCGTCCACTGGCCCTCCAAGTGATGGATCAACAGTTCCGATTTCCATGGCGGTCGTCGATGATGTGCCAGCAGAGATCCCACCCGAGATCTCCCATTTGCCTGAGATGAGATTTCCCGAGCCTTTGCCAGATTGTGCAGCCGCATGTTTTGGGGTAATCACGGGAAATAAACTTGGGAATAATTGGAATAATGATAAGGGTAAGAAATGGGGATTTAAATCACATGTCATGTCACGCATCTGAATGGCCCTCAGGAATGAACTGAGCATTCGTGCCAACCACCGTGATGCTGCGCAGCCAAAGTCCCATGATGTAAAGTGTCCCTCGACGTCTCACATGCATGATCCGAAAGATCACCCAGCATCCAGTGTGATTTCACATGACATACACTTTGCGTCATCAGGTACCCATGGCATTGTTGATCTAGGTGCTTCACAGACAGTGATTGGAAGCCATCAGGTGACAGAACTTTTGCAGGGTCTTCCCGAACAGATCCGAAAGCAAGCACACCGTGCATCATGCCACTTAGTGTTTCGATTTGGTAATCATCAGACGCTGACGAGCCAACATGCACTTGTGCTCCCGATCCAAAAGGGATGGTTCCGAATTGCAGTTGTTCCAGGTCCAACACCGTTTTTACTGTCAAGTGCGTTTTTGAAACAGATTCAAGCTGTGATTGACACTGAAGAGGGAACCATGTGGAGTAAGGCCTTACGAAAGTTTCTCACTCTTGAAAGATCTCCAAAGAATCTGTTCTTAATGGATTTGAATCAACTTTGGGATGAGAGTTTTTCTGGTGAATCAGGTGAGGCCTCTTGCATGGCTCAGACTGAAACTGACCGTGGTGCCAAAATGACAGTCAAACAGCCGCAGGGAAGCCTTAGGGGTAGTGAGCTCAACTTGACAGACCAGTCATCTCCGCTTGAAAGTTCAGTCAGTTGCCATGAAACAGTTTTGAGAACCCACTTGCCGGTGAGCCCGTCACCATCATGTCCGACTGACTCAGCAGTGTGTGGTCCAAAGATCAACGCAGAACGTGACTCAACACCGGGGGAACATGACGTCCCTGGCTTTGCAGCTCAAGGAGTACAACAAGTTGCAGAAGAAGCAGATCTCTTGAGAGGTCGTGAGTGCCATGACTCTGGAAGAGTTAGCCAGCGAGAAGATCACCTTCGGAGAGTCAAAGAAGGGTATGACCTATGCTCAGGCGTTCGAGGACGCACAATGGACCGAGTTCATTTTGAACAGGTTCGAGATGAGCGACAGACCAGAGCACATGATGTTTGTGCAGTATGTCCGTCTGCGCCTGAAGGATGTCCAGGTGAAGACCAAAACCAGCAACCAGAGCCCCAAGCCGAAAGAGAACAAGAGCATGCCTCCCGTTCCACAGGAGGTTTGGGAAGATGTCATGCCCACGGACGGCTCAGATCCAGCCGACCTGATGCACCTGCCCTTCATTCAGGAGGAGATGCAAGATCTACGACAGAGCAACCAGCATCTGTCCAATCGAATGGGACAAGTCGAGATGATGATGCACGAGATGCTGGAGCACATGAAGAAGATGCAGGTGAAATCCGAGAACTGAGAGTTCTGAGTGCAACTGAGGCTGATCTGATCCGGCATGGTATGTTTGCAGAAGAGGTGCATTTGAACATGACCCTGGACACAGACTTTGACTTCACACATGATGTTTCCAACAACAGTTATCACCGACGAATCCAACGTATGGTAGAACAATTTCAATCTGAACTTGACCAAGTGATTCAACAAAATCAGAAGAACAAGTTTCGACTTCCTCAACTTGATTTGTTTGAAGTCATGTGTTCCAGTGACAGTGAACTCACAAAGCAAATGTCGTCCATTGGTGGTCGCTCCAAAAGATTCGGATTGGCAGAAGGTGACCTCCAAACAGCTGCAGGACGCCGAAGAATGTTTCAAGTGTTGACCACCCAGAATCCCAAGAATCTGTGGTACAGCCCTGAATGTGGACCCTGGGTGCGTGGACACGGTTCTGTGTGGAAACCGCCTATAGATCTTATGGGGCGGAATAAATCACTCCATGGGTTGCATGACATTCTTCAGAAACGTCTTGCTAGCCTCTGGCAGATCAGCTTAGCCATTGTTCTGTATCGATTTCAGGTGCAGAGATCACTGCATTTTCACTTAGAACAGCCGGATGGTTCCAAGATGTTGCAGCTCCAACCACTAAGTGAAATTGGTGAACACACAATGCTTTGCCGCTTTGACCTCTGCCGCATGGGCAACTTGACCAATCCAGAATTAGCCATGCCCATCCGAAAGCGTTTGAACGTAGCAACAACGTCAGATCCGTTGGCCCGAGCCATCCATGGAAAGCTGTGCAATTCCGATCACGAACATCGACAAATTGCAGGAAGCATTAAACATGAGGGAAAGCGTATGTCATTGTCCACTTTTACTGAGAAGTATCCAGCCAAATTTGCTCGACAGGTAGTCAAGATCTTGCTTTATGAAGTTCCAAAGGAAAAGCCTGTGTTTGCAATGGATGACCCACCTTCTCAGGAAAATAACAATGAACACCCAACCAAGAAGAGACGCCTCATGTCAAAATTGAGTCCACAAGCCATTGCACAGCGATTTGCTGACACCAGCTGGCAGACAGTGATGAGACGTGCCAATGTAATGGCCCCACGTGTTGGACCACTGGTGATTGACACTGGAGAAATCATTCATGAGATTTCCATGTTATGTCCTGAACATGAGATTAAACATGTGGTCCTTTGTCGTGGCACAGACCGGTATCCTGGCCCTACCAGAAATGTTCCACCAGGTAGTGCTCCTCTAAGAAAACGCATTTGCATCCGTCGCAAGCATGAAGATGTGGTTGCTGATGATGAATGGGAGCCCTGGGAGAAACTGACATTTAAAGGCTTGCGTCGAAAGGGAACGCCAGCCAGAGTCAGTCTGACCATATTTGCCAAAGCCAAGACAGTTGTAGGCCAAGAGATACCTGTTTCCGAACATGTTCCAGTGCAGTCTCAATCTTCTGCCGACGTCCGTGCTGTTCGCTCTGCTGAGTTCGAAGGATCAGAACCAGAACCAAAGCGACCGCGCACTTATGAGCCAATGGATGTGGCCCAAAGAGTTTCCGAACCAGAAAAGACCGAATCAATAGATCGTCATGTCATTGACCTAGCCTCTCAGAAACATGGACCACGTTTCATGATGTTGAAGCCAGAAACTCAGGCATGGCTTCTCAAAGTTCACCGAAACCTGGGCCATCCGGGAGCTATGAAATTGACAGAGTTCTGTCGACAACTGGGATGCCCCAGTGAAATTCTCCAAGCCATCGGAGACCTGAAATGTTCAACATGTGCTGAGAATCAAGATCCCAAGATAGCTCGTCCAAGTTCCATACATGACCATGGGGATTTTGGAGATGTTGTTGCAATTGATGGTATCACATGGACTAAAAAGATGGGGCAACAGTATAACATCTATCACATGTTGGATCAAAGTACCTTGTATCACACTGCCGTGGTTACTCGTACACATGATGCTGAACAGGCCATACATGCGCTTCACCAGGGGTGGATTCAATGGGCCGGACCTCCAGGTCTACTATGCATGGATGCAGGGACAGAACTGAACTCCAATGACTTCATGACATTTTTACAACGGTACTCAATCAAACATCGAACCATTGCCACAGAAGCACACTGGCAAAATTCCAGGATTGAGAGACATGGAGCTGTACTGCAAAGCATTTTGAACAAAATGGACACCGAAGAACCACTTGATTCCTTTGAAAAAGTAAGCCAAGCAACCGCTTTGGCCACTGCAACCAAAAATCAATGGAGCCGTCACAGGGGTTATCCACCAGAAGTCCTTGTGTTTGGAAAGTCAAGTAGGGTAGCCGGTTCAGTAGTTTCAGATATGCAGTTGCCTTCCCACAGTTTAGCCATTGATGATTGTCCTGAAGGTCTCCGATTTAGAGAGGAACTGGCCCTGCGAGAACGCGCACGTCGCGCCTTCACTGCCACTGACAATTGTCAGGTCCTAAGAAGAGCCCTGGTCCAAAGGAGTAGACCCAATCGGGGCAAGTATGTCCAGGGAGATCATGTCATGATGTGGCGAAAACGTGGTGAAGCTGATGGCTCTTGGATAGGTCCCCTTCGAGTTGTGTTGCAAGAAAGTTCACATGTTGTGTGGATCACCATGGGCAGCAAGCTGTATCGCGTAGCTCCGGAACACCTCCGACCGCTGTCAGCAGTTGAGGAGTGGCAACACCGATCCACAATCAATGAAAATCAATCAGGTGATTCTCCAAGTTCCACGTCACCAAATCAAAGCATTATCCCACCACATGGCGGAGTACAATATCACAAGTTAATTCCCACTGAAGCACCAAGTTCAACTACCACTGCCAATAATCAAGATGTGAATCAGATTCCAATAATCCCCAATGAAGATAACCCTAACGTTTCAGTAATCCCAATAAGTGACAGTAACTCTGAACAACCTGATGGCGAATCAGTTCCCAACAACCAGGATCCCTCCGAAAATGTTGAACAGCCACCCAATCCAGTAGAAGTGCCAATTCCAGATACGGATGATGAACTCTTTGTGGAAGCCGATCATGTTTTCCAAGTTGATAATGATCAATGCTGGAAATTAGAGATTCCCATTTGTGCTCAAGACATCACCCGCTGGCGTGAGGAAACAAAACCACAGGAAACGGCTTTCCTTGTTTCAGCAGCAAAACGACAGCGCAGTGAGGTGAAACTGTCAGATCTCACAGCTGAAGATCGCGAGCGTTTCCGGCAGGCCAAGATGAAAGAAGTGGAAAGCTGGATCAGTACCGAGACTATCACAAAAATCATGCGTAATCAGATCCCAAAAGCCAACATTCTCAGAAGCCGATGGATTTTAACTTGGAAAGAAGTTGATCCCACCGCTGATCAACCTCAACAATCCCAGAAAATGAAACCGAAGGCTAGACTAGTTGTGCTTGGTTTTGAAGATCCTGAAGTATCAGAAATTCCTCGTGATAGTCCCACAATGAATAAACTGACCCGGATGCTTCTCCTTCAGTACTGTGCCAGCCGACAATGGGATATCCAAAGCTTCGATGTACAGACTGCATTTTTACGAGGCAGCGCGCGGAGCAATCGCGTTTTAGGCATGGAACCACCAGAAGAGATGCGACAGAAACTCAAGCTCCGTCAAGATGAAGTGGTGCAACTTCTCAAAGGTGCCTATGGGCGTGTTGACGCACCATATCTCTGGTTTGTTGAACTGAAGAAGACCCTAGAGGAGCTGGGATTCCAAGCATCACCGTTTGATCCGTGCCTGTTCCATCTGAGTGACCCCAAAACCCAGGAGACACAAGGTCTGATTGGTGTTCATGTTGATGATGGGTTGTGTTGTGGGAATGAAACTTTTCAGAACAAGCTCAAACAACTGGAAGCCAAGTTTCCTTTTGGATCCCGTAAGATGCACAAATTTGTGTTCACTGGTTTACATGTCACGCAAGAAGCTGATTACACTATCACAGTGAACCAGTCACAGTATGTTCGGGATATTCATGCAATTTCCATCTCTCGTGATCGAAGGTGTCAACCAGACACTGTCGTCACAGAAGAGGAACGACAAGCGTTGCGAGCTCTGATAGGGAGCCTACAGTATGCAGCTGTAAACACGAGACCTGACATATGCAGCCGACTGGGTTGGCTTCAAAGCCAAATCAACAAAGCAAAAGTGTCCACATTGGTTGAAGCAAATCGAACCCTCCATGAAGCAAAACAACATTCCAATGTGGCCCTTCGAATACAATCCATACCAGTTCCTGATTTGCGGTTTGTTGCTTTTTCCGATGCCTCCTTTGCGTCAGAGAAATGCCCTGACTCACATCAGGGAATGATGATCATGTCTGCTCACAAGTGCATTGGTGAAAATAGACGCAGTCCAATCAATCCAATGGTATGGCATTCTAAGAAAATCCAGAAGGTAGCAGTCAGCACGTTGTCAGCCGAAGCAATGGCTCTGGCAGGAGCAGTGGATATGCTTTCTTGGGTGCGCCTTTTCTGGGCATGGATATGTGATCATCGCTGTGATTGGAGACAAGCTGATAGCACTCTCCTCCGACTTCCACCAGCATTTTCAGCGTTGACACCAGAACTGCCTGAGAAACAGCCGATGCCTGAAGTTGCCAAAAGAATCCTCAATGATATTCCCAAGGAACGTTCTGATTTCATTACCACTGATTGTAAATCACTCTTTGACTTAATCAACCGTAATGCTCCCCCAACTTGCACTGAATTTCGTACTCAACTTCAAGCCAAGCTGATTCGAGAACATATCCAAAATGGCATTCAGATCCGATGGGTTCCATCAGCCGCTCAAGTAGCTGATGCGTTGACAAAAGTCATGGACAATACCATGCTTAGGACATGCTTACAGCAAGGTCACTACAGTTTGCATGACGAGCATGAAATACTCAAGGCTAGATCAGATGCAAGAACCAGAATCAAATGGCTTCAAGCTCTCAATCCCGAAAGTTCAGAGCATCGGTAGTTTGTGGAAAAGCCAAGCCGTCCATGCGCTATCCGATTGAAGTTCTGAAAACCCAATTAGATCTTTCGATGATGCAAGCATGGTCTCTGCCTCGCAGGAGACAACTACCAGTGATGAGGTTGACATTGTCTTCAATGCGTAATCAACTGGGTATTTTTCCACATCATGTCCGTGATTGTCTTCACCATTCTGATCACCGAAGTCGTATCTGGAATGTGCACATGATGAACAAAATTTTCATAGTACGAATGTGAAAGCCAGGCCAGTTCACATGTGCTCGAGGTCATTCCCTCATTTAACCAGGGGGTTCTTCCAGAAACCAGTTGTTGCCGCAGCCTCTGGGCTGGAGGGAGGGATTAGCTTGAGCAATAGCGCTATCAGTGACGCTTAGCGGAGACAGCTGTGGCCAGCTGTGGGTGCGTTGGACTGATTGCAGGTCGTGGCTTCGCATTGGGCAAAACAGGAGTTTCAGCATTTGGACAGGGTTCCAATCTGGGTGGAAGAGTTGAAGTGATCAAGCTATCAGTGTCAATCTGACATATATATATATATAATATATATAATATATAATATATATATATACAGTATATATCCTGGAACAGCATAACAATATTGAAATCACAAACCAGAATTGCAAGTAGGTACACGGAAGAGGCAAATTTATAATCCTCAACATTGGACGGTTCAATGCTAAATATTGCTGCCATTTCTTCGTTCCATTGGAAATTCTTGAAAAAAATGGTTCTCTGAAAATTTAGACTTCCCAACGAAAACAATGGTTGGTCAGGCATGTTCCACCGGAGTATCCTCGATACTTTTGGAAACAACCCCCACCTTCTGTACGGGTCCCAACCCCAACAGTTCCCTGTCCTTCGCCCCAGGCTGCTGAGTTTCCACAAGCGCTTCCGCCGTCGCAAGTAACGCGTTAAGTTAGCCAAACACAGGGCTAAAGCGAAGGCAACGGGCTGGGCCTGAGTGGCACCAAGTTGCACCGTGTGGCATCTGTGTTTCCAGCAAATCGACAGGAAATCATGGGTTTTGTGGGCTGCTTAGATGCCCCTCAAAGGTTACAAGTGCTGTTCTCCAGCAAGACAACCACAGCGGTGTAAGATGCATAAGGATGCACAAGGCACGTGACATGGCCTGATGACAAGCGACGTTTCACCACGGCAACCTTTGAGGCATTCGTGCCCTGTCTGATTGGCATCCTTCCCTTCCCGCGCTTCAGTTCATCAGGGTGCATCTTGCTGTAGTCAAGGAGCTGCTGCTTGCATTGCGTCAGGTGCTCGAATCTATAGGTCTCCACACTCCGAGTCGAGAGATGCGAAGCTGATGCGAAGGAAGCATTCTTGATTGTGCGGCGCAGCTGTTGGTGATGATTTGCTCTATTTGGACGAGCTTCGTTCCCTCAGGAAACTCAGCAGCATATTGCTTGATGCGCGAGTTCTGAATGCCCAAGGCAGCAGGTAGCTTTGCGCGTCCGAGTTTGCATAGCTTACGGCGTCCAAGCTCCAGTACTAACAGGTGCACTAAAGAGCACTTGCGCTGGACCACAGGCAACTTCATAGCTTCACTCTGAACGCTCTTCACCAACCAGACCAGCCTCAGTTTTTCCATGGTGAACGTTGCAGCGTTGGCGAGTTGCTGCTCCATGCCACTGAGGGAAAGGCTACCACCTTGAAGCCCCTTTGTCGTGTATTTATATCTTTTCATGGTCGGTTCGTTCGAGGAGTTGGAGTTGCTGTGGTATAGCCATTAACGGCTTAACTTAACCCAGCAATTTCTCACTTGCCAATGCGTATTGGAAAACGCCCCCGACCTCCCACAGCTGCATGTCTGCGGGCAGGAGAACTGGGAAGCGCCAGGTGTCCACCTGGAAAGGTTCCGTATCTTGCCACAACTTCGTAACCATCAGTGTCTTCTAATCAGTGTCTTGCCACAACTCTGAAGGCAGCTGCAGCAGATATGAAGTAGTAGCAGCAGCAGCAGTAGTCATCGTCGTCGTCATCGTCATCGTCGTAGTCGTCGTCGTCGTGGTAGTGGTGGTAGTGGTGGTAGTGGTGGTAGTGGTGGTAGTGGTGGTAGTGGTGGTAGTGGTGGTAGTGGTGGTAGTGGTGGTAGTGGTGGTAGTGGTGGTAGTGGTGGTAGCGGTGGTAGCAGTAGTAGTAGTAGTAGTAGTAGTAGTAGTAGTAGTAGTAGTAGGAGTAGGAGGAGCAGGAGCAGGAGCAGGAGTAGGAGTAGGAGTAGGAGTAGGAGTAGGAGTAGGAGTAGTAGGAGTAGGAGTAGGAGTAGGAGTAGGAGTAGGAGTAGGAGTAGGAGTAGCAGCAGCAGCAGCAGCAGCAGCAGTAGCAGTAGCAGTAGCAGCAGCAGCAGCAGTAGCAGCAGCAGTAGCAGTAGCAGTAGCAGTAGCAGTAGCAGTAGCAGTAGCAGTAGCAGTAGCAGTAGCAGTAGCAGCAGTAGGAGTAGTAGTAGTAGTAGTAGTAGTAATAGTAGTAGTCGTCGTCGTCGTCGTCCTCGTCGTCGTCCTCGTCCTCGTCCTCGTCGTCGTCGTCATCGTCGTCCTCGTCCTCGTCCTCGTCCTCGTCCTCGTCCTCGTCCTCGTCCTCCTCGTCCTCCTCGTCCTCCTCGTCGTGGTCGTCGTGGTCGTCGTCGTCGTCGTCGTCGTGGTCGTCGTGGTCGTCGTCGTCCTCGTGGTGGTGGTGGTAGTGGTGGTAGTGGTGGTAGTGGTAGTAGTGGTAGTAGTGGTAGTAGTGGTAGTAGTGGTAGTATTTCTGGAAGAAGTAAAAACGGAAATGTAACAAATCTTAAAAATTATAGAATGTATCCCTGTTGAAATAAACAGGGGGCACTTGGAACAACCATTTTACACTGTAGAATGGGAAATGCCTGTAGTATGGTTATTTTTTGACCAAAAAACAGCTTTTTTACTGTAGAATGGTTATACCAGAGTTGCTGTAAAATGGTTAGCTCAAACCTTAAACCATAAAATGCAAAATGGTTCCCCACTGTAAAATGGATATACCAACATTTGAAAAATCAAGTAAAATATCCCAAACTTAACATCTTTTTTTATTTTGGTTTATTTTGGGTCAACCCTGCCCTACTGTAAAATGGCAAAACAGGTCTTCTAACGATCTGATCTGTAAAATGGAAATTCCATGAAATTCCAATCCAAGACACTCCAAGCTACTCCAATCCTTTTTTCCCGCATTGGAGCTCAGCGTTGCATAGCTTGACTATGCCTGCTCAAAGTCCGAGACTTTGTCTCCATTTGATTCCGTTTGTCTAAAGACTAAAAGCATCTAATTATTGTCGCTAAAGTAACTAAAGCATACTAAAGTATGTCAAGAAGAGAGTCTGCCTACTTGGAAACAGGGCAAATTCGCGAAGCAAATGAATGCAAATTACAGTAAAAGCGATGGAAACTAATGAAAATATATAAACATCATTGAACATCTATGAAAACCTCTCAACATATGTGAAACTAGTAATTGTATGTAATTGTATGTAATTGATTGTAATTGTATGTAGTTGTGTTCAAACAATATCAAATAGATTCAAAATGATTCAAACAGTTTCAAAAAGTATCCAAGAGTGCCCATCAGCAGACTCTGGACACCAATGCTTTCATTGGTGGTCAAAAATCGTACCAGTTGTTGTAAATCACTGTGTTGTGTCTTTGCTCTTCTTACTATCTGAACCTTGGCAAGCTAGAAAATCCGTGATTTCCTTCAGAAGGCGAAGCCAACCTTGGCGGACAGGCTGCTCCTTGCTGAGCTGATCCCTGATTCTGTGCATGAGGCTGCTCACAGCTTCCGCATAGGCAGCAGCACTTCTCAGATTCCTGTACCTTACCAAGGCAGCATGGTCACACATGCGTGTGTATGCATGTATGTATGTATGTATGCATGTATGTATGTATGTATGTATATATATATATATGTATGTATTTATGTATGTATGTATCTATGTATATGTATATATATATATGTACATGTCCTGTAAAATGGTTGTCAGCTGTAAGCCACTGTAGAATGGTTGAAATACATTGAAATGATATATATATATATGTGTACTATGAAATGCATCGAAATACGATATAACATGGTGCAACCTTATGTATATATATATATATCCGTATGTATCCTTATGTATCCTTATGTAACCATATGTATGTGTATGATTGTGTATGTATGTATGTATGTATGTATGCATCTATCTATCTATCTATCTACCTATCTATGTATCTATGTATCTATGTATCTATGTATCTATGTATCTATGTATCTATGTCTATGTATGTATGCATGCATGTATGTATGTATGTATGTATCTAATATATATATATGATTATATATGTACATGTCCTGTAAAATGGTTGTCAGTTGTAAGCCCCTGTAGAATGGTTGAAATACATTGAAATGATATATATATATATATTATGATTATGAAGTAGCCATATGTATCCATATGTAACCATCAAAAACATTCAGAAACCATCTGAAAGCAATGTCGGAACACATCACTTCGATGCAAGGTGGACCACCTTCACGAATGTCTTGCCATGTTCTGCCCTTTGCGCTGTCATGCTTCATCCTGCACACGCCGTCTGTGTCAAATGCTGGGGCTTGTGCAAATGCAGCGGCATCTAGCACTTTGAGCTCATGCAACATGGCTTTGATGATGCTGCGGCCAGATGCACTTCTCTTGATTTCTTGCGTATTTTCAACCCCAAAGACTTCCTTCTCATTCCGTTCTGGACTCTTTTTGAGAATCCTTTTCTTGGTTTTTTTAAAACCGCCCTGGGTCTCGCTGTGTTTGCCATCAGCCCCTTTGGTTTGGTTCTTCCGGATCCTCATGAACCGCACCCTGTGTGCAAACCGTCTTTTTCTGACTGGCTTGGTCACTTCAATTTCTGCAGTCATTCCGGTAGCTGTTGCCTTTTTGGCACCTCGCACCATGGTTGGGGCAACTTCCCACTGTTTCATTTCTGTCACCCGGCACAAGGCATTGGCACTCTCATCAGACAAAGTGATGCGAACGGTGCCATTGTTGCCCATGGGAGACGCACCTGAGAATGGTTTCTACAACATGCATCTGCTGCAAAAAACACTACAAAAACACATACCAAAAAACCATACAAAATGGATATGGTATGAAATGGTAATGATATGTAATGATATGTTATGATATGGTATGATATGGACAATTGGTTGCCCAAGTTTCTGTCCTGTAAAATGGTTATTTTGCAATTGTTGTTTGTTGATGTTTGTTGATGTTTCTTATAGGTTCTTATAGTATGAGCAGTCCAATAACTTTTTCTTTATCATTAATGATCATTATTGATCTTTATTAGCATGTTTCATTGCATCTTCCGAACCGTTCTTAAGAACCAGGAAAAATGTAAAAACAGATGCAAATGGACAGCCAAAGCACAAGATTCAACATCCAAAACTGAGATGAGAGCTTCCAGCCTCACAACAAACAGCATGGATCTGTCTCTGCAGTGCCAGACCTTTGGTGTGGGCTGAGTTTCATCTTCCAAGTCGAGCTGCAGTACCCTGAAAGCAGAGCAACTGGAAATGGGCACATCACCGGGATGCAACTTTGGAGCCTTCACCCCTTTGAACACGGATATCACCAAGCCGAGCTCCACGGTGATTTTTTTGGTGGGCGTGTGGAACAAAACCACATTGCCAGCCCTCAGCAAAAAGGAAGAGAGAGAATGGCATACTATTGCGCAGGTAGTTGAAAGTAAAACGGATGAGCTCTGAACATCCCTGACAAAACAGCTGTATATGTCTGATAGGTTCTGAAAGTATTTCCATGATTTTCCATGTATTTTCATGTATTTGATTGTATTTGTATATACGCTTTTTCCATTACGTTCCCATCATTTGCATTCATTTGCATTCATTTCCCTTCATTCCCTTTATGTCTTCTCATGTTTTATCCATTTTGTAGGCACATAGGTAAAAACTACCATTTTACAGAGATTGATGGCATCACAAAATTTCTAATGGAATCCCCAGTGATTTGCCAGCACAACTTGGACATCCCTGCTTGTCCCCAGTTGCCAAGTTGCACGAGTCTTTCTGGCTCAGCTTGCTGGATCTGCAAGTCATTCTGGGCGACTTTGACCAACTCCCTCCAACGATCCAATCTGCTAGCCCTCGTTCTGTAAACCGGCTCATCGCGCTCAGCATTGATCTCGGCAAGGCGCCTCTCATTGAACCTGGGCATGTGAAAACGAAAGACTATGACAAATTCATGACTCACATCTATTTAGCACAGTTATATATATATAGTGTATAAATATTGATGGATATTGATACATATTGATACATTTTGTATATAGATGTATTTACATGATTATGTATATATAATTACGATTAGTTATGTATGCATATAGAATTATATAACTCTACAGGTAGTTACAAATACATGATATATACATTATGTATATATATATAATTATATATATAATATTAATTAATATTATATATATATGTATATATATATGTATATATATATGTACATATATGTATACTTGAAGGCCTTCAAAGAAACATCATTCTCAAAAACAGCCTTTGGTTTCCTTGATTGAGCATGATCGAGCCATCAACAATGCAAACCGAGATGCTGGTGCCAATTCAATTTTTTCGCCGCCCTTCTGCAGTTCCTCGGGTTGGGTATGAATTGCAGGTCAGACCCTCCGCGAGCAGCTCGGAGCTTGACAATGAGGCGGAACAATGCATTCCACACACATCCTCTCATCTCCATGGCTTCGAGAAGGGAGCTTGGAAGGTCATCTCCATGCTTTGCCCGGCCTTCAACTTGCGGGCTGTTTTGCTCCATTCCGAAGGGCTCACTTGAAACTTTGCTTTCGCACAGAGCCCTGAGCTGGTCTGCATCAGCCTCACCCGACAAATCATCCTGTGCACCCAAGGTTGCCTCACCCAGGTCAGCTTGATGGTCAAGCGTTTCAATTGGGTCAAAGAGCTGAGCAATGACTTGAGCACATCCGCTATTCTCAGTGCCACTCCTTTCCTCCGGCTTGCCGAGCTTCTCCATTTGCTCCTGCAATTCTTCATCCTCCTCCTGATGCAAGGCTGCAAAGGAAAAGATGTCACCTTCTTCGCAACGCCTGCGGTAGGTCGCTTCCAAGTCCTCAATGCCAACCTGGCTACATCTTGCCACCAACAGCAATGCCCCACGTAGAGCACGTTCACAACATTTCTGGAACCTGGAAAGGGAAAACGCTTTGGAAACCTTTGGGCATGCATGGAAATAGAAACATGAGAAAGAATCACTAAGAATTCAAAAAAATAGATAAGGATAGATAAGGAATGATAAGGAATGATAAGGATAGATAAGGAATGATAAGGAAAGATAAGGTATGGCAAAGACTGACAAAGATACATAAAGTATCATAAAGTATAGTACAGTATAGTAAAGTTGCTGCTCCTTGTAAAATGGTTGGAATGGACTTACCCTGTAAAATGGATCAAAATGGATCAAATATATATGATCAAGTGGGTTCAGGTGAATTAAAATAGTTGGTCTTGCTCACTTTTCTATGTGTCATGTGCATGCATGTGCTCCATTGTGCCCCCTCATTCCCTTGATATTGGCAGCAAGAAACTGTTCGTCCGTCAAAGGATCTTCTCCAGTTTTGCTGGCATCCGGGAAGTTGTTCTTGGCCTTGTTGAGCTCATCACTGACCTTGATTGCACGTCTTGCTGCAGCAATCCAGTACCCTCTGCTGGAAAGCTGTGCCGTGCTGGATTGGCCGCGCAGCTGGCCAAAGAACTGCTCTACCGCTATCTCTGATAGGCGTCCTTCACCATGTTTCCATGGTGCGAACCCTTTGGGTTTCGCACAGGAAATTGCAACCGTGGCGAGGGCAGAACCCTGTAAATTCCACATAGTTTGACCCGACATGAAGGTCGAGCCTGTGGGTAAACCCAGCTCTGCTGAAATCTGAATTGACAGCATCCTGAACATGTCCAGGGCCAAGAAACCAGCAAGGCTGGCTTCACACCTTTGAGCCAAGGACAGATCCTTGTGTGTCACTGGGCTCGTGCAAAGACTGACCACCAGATTGTGGACTGTCATGCCCTTGTTGCACCAGGGCACATGGAGACTTGACAATGGCCCATCCTCGTGGGTTTTTGTTGTGCCAACAAGTGGGAGGTGCTGGCTGGCAAGTCCCCAAGCACATCCAAAAACAGCAAATCATAAAGCATCACAAACGTCATCAAAGATCACTAAACTGTACTAAACCAAATGAAACCAAAAAACAATTCAGAAGACCATTCAAACATATTCAAACACAGTATCATCAAATTTCAAAATTCATCAAAATCTGCAAGAACATTGACTAGTTGCTGCCGACTCAACCAGAAAGAAGGGATTGTTGATCAAAGCGTTTAGCTTGTCACTCATGGGGTTGGTGCGGGCATATGCACTTGGCGGTAGGCCGTTCTGCCGAAGGCCTGTTGGGTCTGCCCACAATCTGCCGTACATGCAGCAACGCAGCAAGCTGTTCAATTGCCCAGCTGCGTTCTTTGAGGAATGGCCTAAGTCGTCAGAAATTATTCCTGTAAAATGGTAAACTCATATACCTCTTCTATATTCTTCTATAGTATGGTTATACCATGTTATACCATACCAATCCCTACCATTCTATGCTATATCTGTACATGTCTGTCCGTATCTATCCATGAGCACACATACCGATGCACATCGAAGTTGATCTGTTGCAACCTATTCTTTTTTAGAGCCCATGGATGCCCATGGTTACATGTTGAAAAAGATTGGCATATCCATTTTACAGGAGTTGGTTCTTGAGTTTCCATTTTACAGAGGGAAAAAATTCACACAGCTGCAGCCAAAGTTGCACGGTCCGCACATTGCAAAGAACGGCTGGTCTTCATGCAAGGCTATTTGGAGGGGCAGCCTTGGCAAATTGTGTTTTGGCAAGGGCCGGTAGGTCAATTTTGAAAAGAAGGGTACCTTCTCCAAGTGGTCGAGATTGATGTCATCAGTTTGCCCATGGAGCAGCTTCCTCACAAATGAATGTGAGGAGTGAGCATCGAAGCAAACTCCAAGTACCACCTTGTGGGCATAGGACAAAAACCTGCCCACCACCTCCAGCATTGCCCAGTTTGCCTTCAGAGATCCATGTACACCATTGCCTCCAAACGAATGATCCATGGGCATGGAAGCCACGGAGAAGGGTGTCTTGCGCACGGCACAAGGGTCATACACCAAGAATTCTAACATCGTCGATGCTCGAGGTATGTTTTTGACCTCAACTGCATCGTCCATGTCGATGAAACAAGCCTCTTCAGCACCTGGTGCCCATATACCCCCGACCAAACCATACTTGTTGTGGAGCTGCAACTGGCAAAGCGCCGGTGAAAGGTACGTTGCATCAAAGCAGCACCAGAGCCGGCCTAACTTCAAGTGTTCAAACTTTTCAACCCAAACTATCTACCAAATAAACGCCCTGCAGTCCCCTGGGCATATCATCATCTATGGCTGGATATGGATAGATATGGCTGAAACATTTGGCAAGCAACGCTTCAGTGAGTACGGCTTCACGTTGAAGCGCTGGTCGAGAAGATTGCAGTTCTCCCGCATCACTTCATCCCATATCAGTGCTACTGCTGGACATGGTATGCTCATTCCATGCAGGTCATCAAGTTTGGTCCTGATGTCGCCTCGAATGCCAAACCTTGGTGGAAGAATGTTGAAGATGGTTGAACATGGTTCAACGAGGCACAATAGTTTTGTATACTGCATTCTCATGCTTTCCCTAGGAACGGTATAGGGAATTATAGGGGTATATCGGGATATGGCAGGATAAAAAGGAACATAGCAAATATAAATATGATTAAAATTGAGTAATTATGTACATATATGAAATATGAATATATAATGATATATAATGACAACTATATATATAAATACGTATTAATAAATAGAATTAAAATGCATTAAAACTTATTAAATAGATTTAAATAGTCTCTCTTGTAAAATGGATCAAATTGCTATGGTGCTGTAAAATGGATAAATGGTGGTAATGGTGGATACAACTTTAGAAAAGAGGATACATAGGAAAACTATGGAAAATTCATGAAAACTTTGTGTGCCCATGGGATCTCTTACAAACAAATACTGTAATTACATTGATATTACATGTAATATCAAATTAATATTATGTAATTACAAAATGATACAAAATGAATCAAACTGATACAAAATGAATCTAAATGATTCTAAATGAATCTAAATGATACAAAATGAATCAAAATGATACAAAATGAATCTAAATGAGTCAAAATAATTCAAAATGAATTCAAAATGAACCAAAATGATCCAACATGAATCAAACATAATCAAACTGAATCAAGCTGATACAAGAGACTGCTTGCCCAGCTTTCCGTTGCCAGTCGCCATAGCCAAACGCATCCCTGCGTCAGCCACCAGTGCAAATTCTCGCTCAGTGCGGTCTTTGCTGGGGCGGCCAGCCATCGTCTCGACTCCCCTCTTTTGCTTGTCCATCAAACGGAGGCAGGCAAGAGCCATCCCCTCCAGAAGAGGGTTGCTTTCAATGCTTCCATCCAAGGCAGCCGCGGCCAGCTTCAGCTTGGACAGTTCCGCATCATTGACATCCCGGCTGGCTATCATGGCCTCAAAACGGGCCGCGACATCTTGGAAGCACCCCTCAAATGAACTGACGTTGCACCGGAGTGTGGGTTTGACCACGGTAGTGAGGAAGTCCAAGCATTGCGGGGTGACTTGAGTTGCATTGGTGTGCGTCCATGTGGCACGTACCAGCTGCTGTAAATGGTGGTTTGGAAGCTTCAAGACTTTCTCTGCTTCCTTGGGGTCAGAACGAAATGCTGCTGATTTTCGCACTTCCTCTTCCACCAACTCACGTGCTTCAGCTCCCTGAAAAAGTCTGGCATTCAGGAGCTTGGCCCAGAGGTACTTTTGAGTGAAGCGGGTCACATTTCTCACCACTGATCTCTTTCCAGAACCCAAGTGGATGCACTCCGGACATGTCTGCCAATCTTCCTTTGTCTTTTCCATGTTTTGATCACAGCCCGAGGATCGTATGATCCAACCAGCACCATTTGGCTCTTGCCAATAGGAGTGCGTTGCCAAGCTCTCCAAATTTGTGAAGGCAGCCCATGTGGAAAACTCAGTGCGCATGTAGTAAAGTAGGCCACCAGAGATGGAATTTTTGACTTGCAAGCCCTGACACGGGACGATTTCCTTCTGATTCTGTGGCTGTCCTTCTTTCTCAAAAGCTGCCAATTGTTCAATGTGCTTTTGTGTCCTGAAATGCTGTCCCAGATAGTACTTGGCCGCAGAAACTTTGGGCTCCACCAAGTCGCCTACTTTGCCATCCACTTGCCGCCGGGTGCGGCATAGCCGACAACGGTAAGGCAATGTCTTGCCGAACTTGCCTGGTTCGAGAAGCTCAATGTGTGGAGCAAAGGATTCCACATACTTTCTCCATGCATCTGGTGCTTCTGCGTCAGTGGCAGCAGGCCCAACATTGGCCGCAGCGCTAGCGTCAGCAGCAGGCGTCTCTGCCTCATCCTCCTTGGCAGGCTGGTCAACAGAAGATTTGCTCTGAGCGATTGCAGCGTCAATGGCATTCTTTAGGGATGGTCCGGAGAACTCGTACTGGTTCAATGCAGTCAGGCAGGCTCCGCACTCAACTTTCCGCTCAGACATGTCCTCAATCAGCATCTTTTGGAGGTCCACGTAGCCACCAGTGCCACAGATGTAGAGCTTCTTCATCGGAGCGAGCCTCACGATGTCGGGATCAGTTGGGAGGAACCATGGACATTCAAGGGCCAGCATAAGTCGGCACACTCCATCTATATATATACATATATATATATACATCCAGAAATCACCAAATATAATCAAATATCATTAGACAAGTATATCATGTATATGCATGTATGATCATGTATTATCGTGTAGATTCTTGATGATTCTTGTAGATTCATATAGCTAAACAATGCTAAGCAGCTAACCAATCTCTTCTGTAAAATGGATCCCACATACAATTACCCTGTAAAGTGGATAACCACCTGTGGGAAGTGTCAAAAACTGCACCACCATACCTAATGATGAGTCCATATGATTCCAGCGAATCCTAATGATCAGCCACAACATACCTATACAATTCTATTCAATCCTATTCGTAAATGAAATATATTGAAATATATTGAAATATATTGAAATATATTAAATATCTTAAAATAATAATAAATTATATAAAATTAATTAAAATTATATAAAATTATCCTAAGCAAAATTTCTTAAACATTCTTAAACAATCCCTGCTGTAAAATGGTTTCCCCATATGATTACTATAAAATGGATACATCAATCATCATCAATCCCTTGCCTGGTGTGGATTTTCTGGTAGGCACCATATGTGAGGCCGATGTTTTGCAAGTACTTCTTGACAGTTCGCAGGGCCACAAGTGCCTCGCATTGCGCTGCCCTTCGACAAGTCCGTTTGTAAGTGTTACGCTTCTTGTTCCTCATGCAAGGGTCAAACTCTTCTTCATCTGCTCCAAAGATTGGCTGGATTTGCAAGTTCTCGTCTGCCATTTGTATGTCACGGGTCCTCTGAGCCTCTTCTGTAGACTCTGGCGCACCTTCGTCATGATGGATGTTCACGGCAGCTCCGGCTTTGGCAAGAACTTGAGGTCTTTCTTGAGGTTTCCCAAAGCCAGTTGGTCGGCAAGACCGAACTCGTTTCGGGACCGTAGAGGGGTTGCCCGGCGTCTCTTGCAAAGGATTCTTGTTGGCCTTTTTTTGGGTGTGGTTTCCGCAGACATCTTGGTCACCTTGCTCGGTCTGACTTCAGCATCATGATCAGATGGATTGTCCTTTGCCTTGCCATTCTCAGCCTCTAGTTGCTTTCCACTGACCTTCCCCCTGCCCTTGCCTTTCTTTCCCTTGCCCTTGCTGCTGATCGTGCCGGCCTCATTGTCGCTGACCTTGCCCTTGTCACTGACCTTGCCCTTGCCTTTGTCACTGACCTTGCCCTTGCCCTTGTCACTGACGTTGCTCTTGCCCTCGCCCTTGTCACTGACCTTGCCCTTGCCCTTGTCACTGACCTTGCCCTTGGCATTGTCGCCGGCCTCGTCCTTGTCAATCTGATCCCGTGGTGCCCTTGCATCAAGTGCATCAAACTCCCCCAAGGCCTGAAACAAGGTCTGCCAAGCGATGTTGGTGGAACATGTGGCCCACCTCGTGCTCAGCTCCTTAGTAGAGCGTCTTGGCTACAACAGGCTAACAAACCTGAACTCCTGTAGAATGGATATTTCACACACATTCACATTCCTGGTTTACAGACTGGCTCCTCCTCGATCCTATCACAAAAAAACGCACACAAGGAAAAACACATGCTAGAAGGAATGAAAAGAGCAATGGATGCTTGTAGGTTCCCAAAAGTGCTCATGCATGCTCATGCTATTTGGTTGTGGTCCAGGATTCAAGATACAGTAACGCTGAAAACATATGAAACAATACAGACAACAGCTCATTGAATAATATACGAGAATCATGGCGGAGTTTGCCGACATCATCCATCTGCAACTTCTTGCCAGCGTCAACAGCTTGCGGAGAACCTCTCTCCAAGGACAACATGCTCCATAGACCGCAATTGCCATCTGCAGGGACAAATTCAGGCACTAAACCTTTTGCAGCAACCAATCTGACAAACTCTAGCTGATTGCTCAAGATCTTGTCCTCATCCAGCAAGGAATCTGTATAAGCATCATTGCCAGACTCATTCTCAGAATCTTCGTCCTCCTCATCGTCGTTGCATTCTGCCATCAGTCTCACCAGCTCCTCTGCTATCAGAGCTTTCCGGTCTGTGATTTCCTTCATCACAGAAGCCATGGTGAGAGCAAACATGTCTCCTCCTATTTGGTCTCGGTGCCACGCAGGAACAAAATGATTGGCTGAATGGACTGGACCTCCCTCGAAGTCCGCACGACAAGAAACAAAAAACCACGTGTTTTTGTCATTGTAAGAAGGATTCACATCCATGTCCTCAACAGGCAGGTTGACGCTGTTAGACAAGTAAGAGGCCAAGCTCCGCAGTCTCAAGGGCTCGGCTGCATCATTGGTATGCCACACACAAACGCAGTGCTTGTCGCGCACAACAGAGAGTAGCGCCAGATCTAGCCAGCCCAAATAGAAGCCCATAGTGGAGACAATCTCCGAGTACTGTTCCTGAGCGAAATTGACCGGGAGACGGGATTGGAGGAGGCTTTCTAGAGAACCTCACGGGTGACACGAGTTGCGTGGGTATATATATATATATGATTATGTATGTATGTATGTATGTATGTAAGTAAGCAAGTAAGTAAGTAAAACTATATATAATATGTATATATATATATACATACCAAATGTATACATATGTATATATATATACACGTATAGTAATTAGATGTAATTAGTAGTAATTGTATATATATATACATAGTACATTACAGTACAGGATTATGATGGATTATGTACATGGTGCAACAAGGTTGCAAACATGATGGGCAATGTCCAGGAATAACCACTTCAAAAATCTCTAGAAAATGATGAGAATCGTGGAATACAAGCTAGAATCAGCATGAATCAGCTAGAAAGTGGATGAAATTGGAAAAAGAAGATAAAAAATGATAAAAATAGATAAAAGAGGAAGATACAACCAGAGATCCAAAACACTCCAATTCAATCGGGCCATTGACAGCACCAGAGCATTGCTGATTATAAATGTTTTTTAAATACATATGCAGACTTTTAATGATTTTTATATTTATTATATATTATTGTAATATGTTGCAAGGTTAGCCCTGTAAAATGGTTAATTTTATGTTCCACCTATAGAATGGATAACTATGGACAACTTATATCCTTTAATGTACAACCTCCAGCTGTACCAAGCCCAGCTATGCCCAGTGGCAATGCGTTCTGCGCAAGCAGGGTCTGCCTTCGGTTCTTCGGAGCTTGCTCTCTGCAAGGGTTGTCCTGGCTTGAGTTGACCAAATCAAAAAAAATGGAAAACTACAATGGAGAATATCAATAAATATCAATAACACACATATGTATACATATATATACATATAATATATATATATAGAGAATATTATATTTATATAGTTATATATATATAATTATATATATTACGCATAGAATGCATAGACTAGCTAGGTCTAAGATAGGTGCTAGAGGGCTTAGCAAGATTTTAATAAAATATATTAAAATATATGGTACAGTACGGTACGGTTGGTACATATGCTTTCCCTGGATTTCCCTGGTACGTACAAACTATCAAACTGTGGCACCAAACTGTACCGATAATAAGCACCCAGAAGCTGTCCTGAAGCATCGCAGCCAGGCTCTTTCTTCACCTTCTTGGCGAGGTAGGTGACTATAGCTCCGTCTTCGTCTCCTTTTGGCCGAGTTATGCCGAGTTAATTATATCAGATTACAACCAGGTTACATCAGATTACAGTGGATCAGATTGGGCTCTTTCATGCTGTTTCGAACCCTTTAAACACTTGAGAGGGGGGGACGAAAGGTAGGGGGGGGCAAAAGAGAGCAACAGGAAAAATATTGCCAAACTGAGATTGATACTTCTCTTCACTCAAACCTCCTGCAGAAGAAAATGTTAGCCCCCAAAAAAGCTTTGTGGGAATAGAATCAGAAACATAATGTCAAATGTAGTAACTTCACGCGCGCGCGCGCGCGCCGCGCGCGCGCGTGAACCATCCTGCATGCAGGTGCTTCTCCGCGCGCGCGCGCGCGCGCGAGCGCACGCATGTGCGGGACGTAAACATTGCGAGTCTCTATTCCCCGGCACGGCCTCAATGGGACTAGAACATCCACGATAGATCGATAGATCAATACATCGATAGATAGATAGATAGATAGATAGATAGATAAAACTATAAATAAATAAATAGATGAATAAATAGATAGAGAGATAGAAGCATCGATCGATAAATAGATAGATCGATGGCTACCTTGATCGATAAACAGATAGATAAATAGATAGATCAATAGATAGATAGATAGATAGATAGATAGATAGATCCAAGGATAGATAGATAAATACATACATAGATGGACAACTAGATAGATAGATATATCGATAGATAGATGGATAAGGAGGTAGGTACAGAGTCAGAGAAAAAGAGAGAGAAAAAAATGCGGACCAGGGGGGAATCGAATGGGGGGGGGAGGGGGGGGCCCCCCCCCCCTAAGTCTCCGTTCGTGACTCTCGGCTTTCAATTTCCGGGAAAGGAGCAGCCACCTCCCCCAGTACTAAACTAGTACTAAAGTACATAGAACTCAGGTAGCCTAGGCTACCTTTCGTGATTTGGAATCATTTGGAATCATTTGGGTATATACATGTGGACCATGTGCATCCATTTAATCCGTAATCATTCTGACAATCTTGTCATCACAAATTAATATAATTTAATATAATTTATGCATTCTATAGGTACAAGGCCTGGTATTTCCATTCTACAGTAGCCAAATGAGTCAAAATGATTCAAAATGACGGTCGAATACATTTGAATACATTTGAACGCTTTTCAATTTAACTAACTATACGTGACTGAAGGATACTGCAGGTGAATGCAGGTGATGTCTGCATGTGTCTGCTAAAGTGCTAGATCATAATTACATATAATTACATATAATTACATATAATTACATAATAATACATAGTATTACATAATATTACATATAAATACATATAATATCATATAATTACATATAAATAATTATAATTACATATAATTACGTGATCATACCAGGCCATACCA